TTGATTGGCAGATGGCCGCGATGACGGTGCAGTTCGCTGTGTCCATAACCTACTGTTGTTAGCGAATCATACCGCCGTGACAATGGACTAGTCATTAACCGCGTTTCTCATGACTGCGCTTCTCTTGCTGGTACCGAGTGTCTAGTTGTGAAAGCATTCAGCTGGTGGAAGTCTAATGTGCACAGCTTCAGCAGGGCAAGGTAAGCTAATCCTTGTATATTGGCTAGAATATGTTCACCGTGCAGTTAGCTATCAGCTTTTCCACGCCTTTGCGTTTTCTGTTGTTTATATATTGCATTAATTGGACGCGACCTTATGTCTGGGTTATAGACATTGTTATCCCGGCTTATGAGGCCATATATATATATATATATATATATATATATATATAGGATCACGTGCCAAGGTGGTTTCAACGTGAAATTGGCCAGCGTCCCTGTCCCGCTGAAGTTCCGTGCTTGCGCAAGCCGCCAGCTTCCTCAATAGGTAAACACCTACTGACTACGCGTCACCGGATAGAGCTCGGATCAGCGTTCGCACTTGTATTACGTCACCCTAACCCCCGCTCCCTCCGTTTCGCCAAGGCCGTTGCGATAAGCCGGATGAACCCGGCTTTGTGTGTTCAAAAACAATTATTTATCATCTTAAGACTGCTGTGGACATAGGGGTGGAACTTCCGTCATTCATTTTGCACCTCATGCTTATTCGGTCACACGCATATTTAAGCATATAGTTCCATACCGGTTATTGTTAATGGTACTGAGGAGACAATACGAAATGCATGCATCTACCAATTTTCGTCTTCTTACCGTGCTTTTCAAATTTCTGAAGGGATCTAACTGCTTTAAATATATTTGTGTGTGTGTGTGTGTATTAGGTAAGATATGTCAACTACTAGGTCGTCAGCTAGCGAATATGAACTTTATTGTGTCTAGCTGGATGTTGACACACGCATTTAGCCTTTCCACCTTTCGAGTTGTGTCTATGCATCGACTGTTACCATTTTTTGTCTTTTGTATCGGACCACTCAACACTCTTTTTACTCAGAATGTTCTTATACCCACGTTACCGGCCCACTTTTTACTAATCGCACTTGCAGAATTTATGTTCATCGGCTTTTCCCTCTGATCTGTCTTGTTTGTTCCATTCCAGTCGTTAGTGTATTTTGTTGTCACGAATGTGAGCGTGATGGAGATGAGGATTTTGCAAATGCAAACGTTACGCTATAATGCATGTTGGAGCGTTCAGGATGCCCTGGCGACTTTTAATGATGACCGCTTATCCTTTGTGTCCCGCCATGCTTGAGATGGTGTAGATTTAACATTTTACTATGATGGACGATGGGCATTACATTTTAAATTCATGTTCAATCTGTTGTGGTTACTATAT